CAGTGGCAAAGGTGTGCTTGGGATGCCTGGGGACCTGAGGAGGCAGGGACTGCAGACCCCAAGAGCCTGGCAGCCAAGTGGGGATGCCCTGGCTTGACGCAGTGGGCCAGGGACACTCGGAAGGGATGTGGTGCAGCTAAGGTTTGGGGAAGGCTAACCTGGCTGCTTCTGGTGTTCTACCAGTTAAGGAAAAGATCCCTGGAGGTCCATGCTGGCAAATCTGGCAGATCTCACAAGACTTATGGGATCCCATGCAATTCTGCTATATTCATAATATGTGGCAAGATTCCCAAGGATCCTATAAACTCCTTTTGCCTGCTATTCCAAATCTGGGGATCCCCCCCACCCCAGGGAAGGCAACATGTCCTGGGGACTGCAGGGGAGTATGGGAGTTGACTTGGCTTTGAGACACAACCAGGCAGGTACTTCCCTCTCTGTGCCAGTCACCAACAGAGCTCGAGCCCCCTTCTCCCTCCCACCATAGGGCTGGGGGAGGCTCCAGGGCTCTGTCTGGGCAGTGGTTGGCTGTGGCCAGAGTAGGAAAATCTCCCTCTGGCTGGATTATATTAGTGTTGGCAGGCCTGGTTCTGACCTTCTGCCTGGTGCCCAAGAGACTGACCAATCCGTTTGGAGCCCTGAATGCGGGCTACAAGATGGCAGAGAGGTATTGACATAGAGTACTTTTTCTACTCATCCCAAAATGGAAAACTCTCCTGTCCAAGTTAGCAGGTGTTGAGCAAGGTCCAGGTCACCTCAGGCATAGAGAAGCTGGGAAGCAGGGAGGACTTGGAGATGAAAGAGGGCGGGACGGGATCAATCAGACTTCAGGACAGAGAAAACGGCAGACAAAGGTTTGGAGGAGAGTAATGAGGAATACAGCCATTTTTGGAGAACTAGAGACAATGGGGAGCCCTGGTGGCACAGTGGTTAAGAGCGTGGCTATTAACCAAAAAGTTGGCAGTTTGAATCCACCAGCTGCTCTTTGGAAACCCAATGGGGCAGTTCTACTCTGTCCTATAGGGTTGCTTTGAGTTGGAATCGACTTTACAGCAAAGGGTTTTGTTTTGTTTTAAGAGGCAATGAAGGTCCCTGAGTGGCATAAACGGTTTACGCTTGACTACTAACCTAAAGGTTGGCAATTCAAACCCACTCATTGGCACCACAGAAGAAAGGCCTGGCACTCTGATTCTGTAAAGATTAAAAAAGAACCAAACCCAATGCCGTCGAGTTGATTCCAACTCATAGTGACCCTATAGAACAAAGTTGAATTGCCCCATAGAGTTTCCAAGGAGCGGCTGATGGATTCAAACTGCCATCCTTTTGGTTAGTAGCCTAGCTCTTAACCACTGCACCACCAGGGCTCCAACAAATAAGAAAACCCTAGAGCAGTTCTACTCTGTAACACGTGAGGTCACCACAAGTCTGAATTGACTTGATGGCAATGGGTTTGGTTTTTTTTTTAGAGACAATGGAGTCTCTAGGTGGTATAAATGGTTAATGCACTTACTTGTTAACCGAAAGGTTGGTGGTTTGAGTCCACCCAGAGATGCCTTGGTAGAAAGGCCTGGTGATTTACTTCTGGAAATTGATCAATGAAAACTTTATGGATCAGAACACATTATTATTTTATTATTATTATTTTGCTTTAAATGAAGGTTACAGAGCAAATTAGTTTCTCATTAAACAATTAATACACATTGTTTTTTGACACTGGTTGCCATCCTCACAATGTGTCAACACTCTCCCCTTCTTGACTTTGGATGCTGTATTTCCATTTGACCACCTCTCCTGTCCCCCCGCCCCCACCATCTCATCCGTGACCCTGGGCTGGTGTGCCCATTTAGTCCCATATATGTGGTTAAGCTATGTGTATTACTGTTTGTTTTATGGACCTGTCTAATTTTTGGCTGAAGGGCAAACCTCCGGAGTGACTTCAGTACTGAGTTAAAAGGGGCGTCCGGGGCCATACTCTCACGGTTTCTCCAGTCTCTGTCAGACCAGCAAGTCTGGTCTTTTTTTGGGAGTTAGAATTTTGTTCTACATTTTCCTCCAGCTCTGTTCCTGGACCCTCTATTGTCATCCCTGTCAGAGCAGTTGGTGGTGGTAGCCGGGCACCATCTAGTTGTGCTGGACTCAGTCTGGTGGAGGCCGTGGTAGTTGTGGTCCATTAGTCCTTTGGACTAATCTTTCCCTTGTGTCTTTGGTTTTCTTCATTCTCCCTTGGTCCCGACGGGGTAAGACCAGTCTTAGATGGCAGCTCACAAGCTTTTAAGACTCCAGATGCTACTCACCGAAGTAGGACGTAGAACATTTTCTTTATAAACTATGTGTTATGGATTGAATTGTGTCCCCCAAAAAAATCTGTCAGCTTGGCTAGGCCATGATTTCCAGTATTGTGTGATTGTCCACCATTTTGTCATCTGATGTGATTTTCCTGTGTGTTGTAAATCCTGCCTCAATGGTGTTAATGAGGCAGGATTAGAGGTAGTTATGTTAATGAGGCAGAACTCAATCTACAAGATTAGATTGTGTCTTAAATCAATCTCTTTTGAGATATAAAAGAGAATCGAGCAGAGAGACGGGGTACCTCATACCATAAAGAAAGTAATGCCAGGAGAAAAGTGCGCCCTTTGGACTCGGGGTCTCTGCGCTGAGAAGCTCCTAGTCCAGGGGAAGATTGATGATAAGGACCTTCCTCCAGAGCCGACAGAGAGAAAAAGCCTCCTGGAGCTGATGCCCTGAATTTGGACTTCTAGCCTCCTAGACTGGGAGAGAATAAACGTCTGTTTGTTGAAGTCATCCACTTGTGGTATTTCTATTATAGCAGCACTAGATAACTAAGACACTATGTTATACCAATTGAGCTAGATGTCCCCCGAGACAGAACACCTTACTGTCTGATATAGTGTTGGGGGAGTCCCTGAGTGGTGCAAAGGGTTCCACCCAGAGGCACCTTGGAAGAAAGGCCTGGTGATCTACTTCTGAAAAATCAGCCATTGAAAACCCTGTGAAGCACATGGTTCTACTCTGACACACACAGGGTCACCATGAGTCGGAGTCAAAACTATAGCCAACATCTGGTAGAGATAATGGGGCAGGAGAAGGGCAGGACAATGCAGAACAGAAGCAAGGGACAGGGATGTCCCATTTTTCTTGTCCCTGCCCCAGGCCCCTTGTTGTTCCGGTCTGGTACGAGAGGCACAACCAGAAGCTGGTGCAGCTTACACTGTGGTGTGTCCTGAACACTTGCTGAATAAAGAAATGATGATGAGAATTTCTCCAAATGCCCCATTTGACCTTAAAAGCATCCAAAGCCACCCCAAATAGCTCTGACTTCAGCCATTGGCATCCCAGCCCCACCACCAGCATACTCTCAACGCTGCCATCATTGCCACCATCAGCACCACCCTCACCACTATCATCATAGCTACTGACCCCATCATTCCCCAGACACCCTTAATTCCATTCCCCACTGGTGGGTTTGGAATGCTGGGAACCAGGACCTAAGTCAGATCTCTGAATGCATCACCTATAAATCAGAGGGCCTCAATGATTTTGCCCCCTAGAAGTAATGCCTGGAGACATTTTTGGTTGTCATAGCTTGGGAGTGGGGGGTGTTGCTGGCATCTAGTGGGTAGAGGCCAGGGATGCTGCTAAACATTCTGTAATGCACAAGACAGCATTTACAACAAAGAATTATCCAGCCCGAAATGTCAACAGTGCTGAGGCTGAGAAACCATGCTTACAGATCCTGTGTCCCTCACCCTGGCTCTAGCTTTCTCAGGCCCTCATCCCAAAGACGCCTATATCACACCTCTGGTTCCTGGACAAAAAAATAATCCTTGCCAATTCATCTTACGGCAACTTTGTTCTCTCTTATCGCTTGCACTCCCTCGCCTCCACTGCTTGTGTGAAAAAATCAGTAAGATGAAAAGTGTGTGGAAACACACAAAGGAACAATGGATGCATGCAGTACAGGGTATATCGGGGTTGGGTCATGCTTGCTCAGGGCAAGGAGGCAGGAAGTGGGTGAGTCCCTGAAGTATAAAGGAAGAAGGACTGCTCAGGTTGTCACTCCACTGCTACTGCAGGACTCGAGAGTGTCTTTTCCTCTGTGGCGAGCTGGAAATCAGCATCATGAAGTGGATCTTGGTGGCCTTGTTCTGCCTCCACGTTTTGGAGGCAGCAGAAGTCAAGTGAGTATGGGGCCTGCCTGGTGCAGGGAGCCTGGGCCACAGACTGCCTTGCAAGGGGCATCCTGGCCAGATAGGATTCCCATCTATCTGTACTCTGGAATTTCTGATAGGGACAGGGAAGACTCTCTTTGCTGGTGTTGAATGGGGCTCAGAGATGCGAGGAGGCACAGGCCCTGGGGAAACTTCCAGTCAAAGGGAGAGGCACAGCCCCTTCCCCTATCTGAGGAGAAAAGATGAACCCAAACTGAGAGATACAAAAGCCAAAGGGGTGACAACTGCCCATGGCTGATTCGTGGGTGTGGTTTCTTTCCACAGAAAAGAGCAATTATTTCTGGATATGGGGTGCTTTCTAAAAATGTCCTCACCTATAACTCCCTAACCAGTTGCTATTGAGTTGATTCCGACTCTTGGCGACCCCGGGTGTGTCAGAGCAGAACTGCTCCATCGGGTTTTCAATGGCTGATTTTTTGGGAGCAGATTGCCAGGCCTGTTTTACTAGGTGTCTCTAGGTGGGTTCGAATCACCAATCTTTCGGCTTATAGTCGAGAATGCATAGCCATTTGCACCATCCAGAGACTCCTAAAAACATGACTTTAGGGGCCCAAAATTTAATTGGCCACTCTGGCAGATCCCAAAAACACCTAAGCAGAAACACCAGTAATGTCAATCTCTGTATGCTGATGTGTCAAGACAAAGGGAGTGAGGCCACCAACTCTGGTGGACTAAGTGGCATCAGGGATGACAGAGAAGGCTCCCAGCTGGCCATGCTGCCTGCTATTCCACCATTAAAGAGTGATTCCTTAGGCTAAGAGATGGCTCCTCTCAGAAACTTTTTTTAATGTATAAATTCTGTGGAGGTGGTTAGCACTGAGCTACTATCAGTCTTCACATCTCAGAGTGAATGGATTTATTGGAGATTTTCTGGAGGATGCCAGGTCCTGAGGGGATGGGAATTATTTAGATGGGGAAGGAGTGAAAGGAGCAGGAACTTGAAGCCTGGAGCAAGGGCTGGGAGGGACCGCAGAGATGCTAGGCAATGGCAGAAAGCAGGTCTAGGAGGAGGATACTTGCGGAGAGGGGGGATTCTGTGCATGCAGTGACATGGGCAGAAGCTCATACTTCCTAAGTCCTAAATCCAGAGCAGCTCTTCCCCATGGTCCTGGCTTCCCGGAGAAAAGCAGTGGTCAGCTCTGGGCCATACAGTTAACGGCAGGGGCAGAACTAGAGCTGTGTCTCCGAGTCCCATTGTAGTGCTCGTTCCCTGTACTCTGCACTGCCACATCCAGCCACGTGCCCAGGACCCATCATAAGAGGAGACTCTCTTTGGGATGAATGTTGCCATCTCTGAAACCCTTCAGAAAATGCACATATCCTGAAAAGGGCAATGCCTGTCCCCTTCCTGGGGAGGCATTTATGGGATATTTGAGATGGGAGAGCTGGACGCTAGGACGCCCCTGGAGATGGGGTGGGGGCATACATGAGTAAAGATAATTGTTTTCTGAATCATAGAGCCAGCCCTTAGAAGGGGTTTGAAAGAGGAGAAGGAGAAGGGAAGGAGAGAGGCAGAGGGAGAAGAGACAGAGACATAGAGACAGAGAAACAGACTAAGACAGGGAGAGACAGAAAGAGAGAGACATACAGACACACACACGAGACAGACCCAGGGAGACAGGGCAGCAGAGAGCCTGAGGCACATAGCTAGTGATGGAGAGACAGAGACAAGACTGTAGCTCTTAGAGGCCCTGTAGGAAGGAGAATAGGCCCTGCCTGACTCTCAGCCCCTCTGCAGAATCCCCCTGAAGAAAATGAAGTCCATGCGTGAGACCATGAAGGATAAGGGACTACTGGAGGAGTTCCTGAGGACCCACAAGTACGATCCTGCCCAGAAGTACCACTTCAGTGACTTCAGCGACTTCAGCGTGGTCTATGAGCCCATGGCATACATTGATGTGAGTGCTCACCCTCTCCCTGTTGCCAAAGGCTAGGGGCCAGGCCTGGGCAGTGTGTGGCGCCCCTCCTCAATGCTCCCCGCCACCCCTGTGGTCTGCTTCCTCTCTCAGACCTGCCAGCCTGGACGTTGTTGACTGTGGGTGACTGTTAGGGCAAAGGATGGGGAGGGGCCCGTGCTGACTCATCAGCCAAGCCACAAAGAACTTTTCAGCTGTCTTGGGCAGGCAGGGACTGAGGAGAAGGTGTGATGGTAAGACTTGGACCCCTGCTTCTTGTGTGGGCTGTAGGACAGGGGCTGGTCCCTTCTCTGCTGTGCCCATGGAGTCTGGGCCCCATCCTCCCTGGGGTCCTTCCAGAGCTAACAGCCTACCTATGCCCTCCTCCCCTAGGCTGCCTACTTTGGAGAGATCAGCATTGGGACCCCACCTCAGAACTTCCTTGTCCTCTTTGACACCGGCTCCTCCAACTTGTGGGTGCCTTCTGTCTACTGCCAGAGCCCGGCCTGCAGTGAGTGCTGGGCTGCACAGGGAGTGGCAGCAGGCAGGGCAGGAAGGGACCAACTTTATGAGGGGTTGCTGGGAGGAGCTTCAGGCCTGGAGAAAGCCAAGGACTTGTCCAAGGTCACATGGTGTGCCCGAGCCAGAGGGAAGAGGCTCTGCCTTGTAGCTGGGTGGCCCCTTTGCCTTCACTGCTCACCAATGTGTACCCCTTGATTTACTCCACCCCATCCCTCCCACTCCATTCCATTTTACTCCCCTCAACTCCAATCTGTTCGCTCTGGGCAATGTTATTCCATCCCACACGAATAATTTCTACTCCATTCCATCTCACTCAATTCTATAAGATTCTACTCCACACCACTCCACTATTTACTAAATTCTCACTGAGTGTCTCCAAGGGACATGAGAGAAAAATATAGGATGTGGTCCCCATTCTGTAGTCATATTGGGAGACCGGCGATGTTCACTTCCTTAAGGTTGCACAAGTCCCTTCTAAATTATTGGGGTTTGGGTCCTGATGCCTCTGGTCAAAGGATTCCTCGTTGGCGCCTTTGCTATCTCAGGATTCTGGTATGACCAGCTTCTTGATAGGGAGAGGGTTGGGGACATGCTGGGATGGCCCAGGTGTTCATCCATTCCTTCATTTGATGAGTAATTATTTGGTACCTGCTGTGTGCCAGGCCCTCCACTGGGAGTCAGGGATATGAAGATGAAGTCTCTGTAACCCTGCCCACAGGGAGGTCACAGCCCTGGGATAGCGCAAGATTCTGTAAGTCAGAATGAGTGGCACTGAGGCCAAGGCTGGCCAGCTCCCATGGGCCTTCCAATGCAGGGAGCCTTGGCCGGCCACCACCTGACTCAGTGAGGGGCGGGGTGCTGAGGCCCCAGGATGTGAGCACAGGCTGAGAGGCAGAGGCAGGAAGCCCTCCACTCACCAGCCTGATCTTTTGGTGTTGTCTTTTCCCCACTGCCCCCTGCAGCCAGCCACCCACGCTTCAACCCCAGTGAATCCTCCACCTACTCCACCAATGGGCAGACATTTTCTGTGCAGTATGGCAGCGGCAGCCTCACCGGCTTCTTTGGCTATGACACCCTGACTGTGAGTGGGTACTGCCTCCCGCTCCCACCCTAGGATGTGGGGAATGTAGCCCAGGGCTGGGAGCTGGGTTCCAACCAGAACATCAGAGTCTAATGAGGAGACTTGCATGGAGACCTGAAAACTAACAGAAAAACTCAGGACAGGAAATCAATGCGATAGAAGCTCATTCATTTACTCACCTAACACCCACTGAGGGCCATCATGTGTCCTGCTGGAGACACCATGATAAATGAGACAGACTCGGTCCTTATCCTTAAAGAGTTTAGAGCCTGGGGAGTTCACAGAAGAAGGGGATGGGGGGTGGGGTGGGTAGGCAGTGATGTTGCTTGGAAGAGAAGGTGGCTCTTGCAAGACTTGTCAGAAAAAGGAGCAGAGGAGAGAGGATGAAGAATGGAGCCTTGGCAGGGGCCCTGGGGAGTCTGAGGAGGTGGGTGGAGTCAGCTTTGTCACCTCCCCTCCTTTCTGCCCACTCCAGGTCCAGAGCATTGAGGTCCCCAACCAGGAGTTTGGCCTAAGCGAGGATGAGCCGGGTACCAGCTTTGTCTACGCAAAGTTTGATGGCATCATGGGCATGGCCTACCCTGCCCTGTCCAGGGGTGGTGCCACCACAGCCCTGCAGGGCATGCTGCAGGAGAACGCACTCACCAGCCCCATCTTCAGCTTCTACCTCAGCAAGTGAGGAACCACTTAGCCTGTCCCCAGTTCCCAGCCCTCTACCCCTGCTGCCCTGGACAATCCCTCCTGGGCTCCTACGCTCCGCACCCCCCACCCCCCGCCATCCCACCCCAATCTGTCTCTAGTCTACTCCACTTGGCCAGGACAGAATCTCTCCTCTTCCAGCTGATTTACCTACGGCCCAGGGCCCCATTTAGCTCACTTCCTTCTGGCCAAATGTTTTCTACCTGAACACCTCTTTTGTATAGTAATCTGTTGCTTCATCTCCTTTGATCTATTGTCCTAGCCAGGTCCTGAAGTCTTCTGGTCTAGGTCCACTGTTAACACCGAAAAAATTGTTATCACCAGCAAATGTGAGCAAAGAAGTCCTTTAGTGCCACTGGGCCGTGAGCCTGGGTGGCTGGAGGGAGTGAGCAGCCGGGAACTGACTTTTCCTTCTTTCTTCTCCAGAGTTAGCCAACTATCTTCAAGATATGGTTAGCATCCACCGTTGTTGTTGTTGTTAGGTGCTATGGAGTTGATTTTCAACTCATAGTGACCCCATGTGACAGAGTAGAACTGCCCCATATGGTTTTCTAGGCTGTAATCTTTATGGGAGCAGATCGCCAGGTCTTTCTCCTGCAGTCGCTGGGTGGGTTTGAACGGCTGAGCACCTAACTGTTGTACCACCAGGGCTCCTTTAGCATCTACTATTTGTGGTTTAATCACTTACTTGAATCTGGCTTTCCACAATATTGTCCTGTTACTAATGCTGCTGACTTACTCTCTGCTTCTGTTTACAATGACTCTGAGCGTAGCCTTTAGAAAGCCCACCCAGTTCCACATTCAGATTCCCCTATCAGGGAAGACCTCTGAAAAAACAAGGAATGTCCCTCCCTCTCCTCCACCAAGGCCCTACTTCCCTCCAGATCCCAGGAAAAAAGTAACAAGCTGGGCCCGGAGTGGGGCTCCTGGTGCCATGTTCCACCAGCGGCATGAAGTGGGAGGCAGGGGACAGCTGAATGTGTGCAGGATGGGGAGGCCGTACAACCAGAGGCTCCGTCAGAGGCAGGACTCTGCGGGGCAGCATCATTTGGTAGCCTGAGGCACTGGGAATTCTGAGAAGCCAAGGTAGGGAGCCCTTGCCCCCCCACCCCAGGTGATAGGGAGACTCAGCCCTGCACTCAGGGAGCCCCAGTCTGAGGGGAGACACAGCCCTGCCCTCAGGGAGCCCCAGTCTGAGGGGAGACACAGCCCTGCTCTCAGGGAACCCCAGCCTGAGGAGATACATGGCCCTGCCATCAGGAAGCCCCAGTCTGAGGGGAGACACAGCCCTGTCCTCAGGGAGCCCCAGTCTGAGGGGAGACACAGCCCTGCTCTCAGGGAGCCCCAGCCTGAGGGGATACATGGCCCTGCCCTCAGGAAGCCCCAGTCTGAGGGGAGACACGGCCCTGTCCTCAGGGAGCCCCAGTCTGAGAGGAGACACAGCCCTGCCCTCAGGGAGCCCCAGTCTGAGGGGAGACACAGCCCTGCCCTCAGGGAGCCCCAGTCTGAGGGGAGACACAGCCCTGCCCTCAGGGAGCCCCAGTCTGAGAGGGAGACACAGCCCTGCCCTCAGGAAGCCCCAGTCTGAGGGGAGACACAGCCCTGCCCTCAGGAAGCCCCAGTCTGAGGGGAGACACAGCCCAGCCCTCATGGAGCCCCAGCCTGGAGCCAGGGCCAATTGCTATGAGTCAACTCCAACTCAGGGTGACCCCATGTGTATCAGACTAGAACTGTGCTCCATAGGATTTTCAGTGACTGATTCTTCAGAAGTAGGTTTCCAGGCCTGTCTTCCAAGGCAGCTCTGAGTGATCTCAAACCTCCAACCTTTCGATTAGCAGCAAGCGCTTTAATTACACCACCCAGGGACTCCAGAGCCAGGGCTGGAGCTCTATTTCGTACTACTTCACTCTGCCCAGCAGGAAAGTCCTTTTCCAGGGCTACTTGCTAACCCACCCTCCCTTTGTCTCCTGCAGCCAGCAAAGCTCTCAGGACGGAGGAGCCCTCATCCTTGGGGGTGTGGACAACAGCCTCTACTCGGGCCAGATCTACTGGGCCCCTGTCACCCAGGAGCTCTACTGGCAGATTGGCATTGAGGAGTGAGTCTGTGGCAGGGCCCTGGGGATGTGGAGCAGGCTTTGAGGCACCCCGTGTTATACACACATCCAGGCAATGCTGGGTGGGTGGGAAGCAGAGGACCATCCTACCCCATACCCCCTGCCTGCTCCCACAAAGCCACAGCTCTCTTTGCTGAAGTATCATGGCCCAGCTCAGCCTGGAGAAGAAAGGTGGGATGGGGACAATATAGGGAGGGGCAGGACTTGGAATCCTGAACATTAGAGACCCCGTAGCCCAACTCTGGAGCCCTGGCAGTGCAGTGGTTAAGAGCTACGGCTGCTAACTAAAAGGTCGGCAGTTCGAATCCACTAGCCGCTCCTTGGAAACCCTATGGGGCAGTTCTATTCTGTCCTATAGGGTCGGTATGAGTCAGAATTGACTCATAGGCAATTTTTTTTTTTTTTTTTGGGTTTAGTCCAGCTCCATGTGCTTACAGATTGGAAATTGGGGTGTGCTGAGGGACTTGTTTGTTTCAAGCATTTACAGTGAATCAGTGGTCCTGCTTTTAGTGTTTCTAGAATCTTCCTTGGAATTTTTTAGAAAGAGGATCCCATGGCCTTTTAGGTGGCTTTGGGTAGACTCTGGTATGATGTGAGGCAGGGGAATGGCTGGATTGACCTTGCAGAATGCTTACCTTCCTGAGGTATACCATGGTTCTGTGGTGGTACCTGTCTTTCCCTCATCTGCCCTGAGTTGGTGGGGTGCTGAGGTCGCTTTCCTCCTTACCATTCAGGTTCCTCATTGGCAGCCAGGCGTCCGGCTGGTGCTCCCAAGGTTGCCAGGCCATTGTGGACACAGGCACCTCTCTGCTCACTGTGCCCCAGCAATATCTGAGTGCCGTTCTGCAGGCCACAGGGGCCCAGGAGGACGAGTATGGACAGGTGCGTCTGATGGAGGTGTCCCCTTCCCCAGGAGAAAGTGGGAACAGATTAATTCTTGGGTTCCATACCTCTAGTTACTCCAAGACACTGGAGGTGTGCGGGCCCGGGATGACTGGGGTCGGGGCAGGGCTGAGGCCTGGAGGCTGGTTCAGGTGGGACCAGGTTTGTGCTGAGGGGGTATGAGGAGGTTACTACTAGGCAAGTATTTCCTCTGAGCTGCAGTCACTCAGAGGAAACAGATCAAATGCTTGCCTGGCTTTGGGATAAGAAAAAAGTAACTACAATGTGGGGCTGAGAAAGTGAGCCACAAGGGATACCCTTACATTCTTCACCTCCCTCACCTCTATAGGTCCCTGCTGCCCCTCTCACCTGTGCTTACCTTAGCAAAGGGTTTGCCTAATTAACACGTTCTCACTAACTCTGGAGGACCCACAGCTACTCTTTCTACAGATCTGTGTGTTTCAAAGGACACTTGCCGAGAAAGGGCAGAGAGAGTTAGTCTCTTGTGGGGGAAATTCATGCAAAGGAATGTTTTCACAGTGGGGGAGATGCTCAGGTCTCCCCATATCCCTCCCACTGCTGTGCACCCACATGTGTAATGCATGGACTTTCCCTTAGCACTGCACCTTCCGTTCCAAAAGCAAGCCTTGGAGTTCAGTCCTGGGACCCTATAGAGGGGTGCTCTCAGATGGGGGATGAGCTAATCTGGCTCCTGTTCCTCTCTGCAGTTTCTCGTGAACTGTAGCAACATCCAGGACCTGCCCACCTTCACCTTCATCATTAACGATGTGCAGTTTCCTCTGCCACCCTCCTCTTACATCCTCGAGGTGAGTCTTGGCCCCCTGCAGGCTGAGCCAGCAAGGGCACTGTGGGGGTGGGGGAGGAAGGGGTGGGGAGTCAGAAATGTTCAGCCTCCCCACCTTGTGCCATTTCCTGACTTCTTACAGCACTGATTTATTGGCCCCACTGATTGATTCTAAACCCCCTTCTCTAGAACAAGGCTGTGAAAACTATGACCGTTATCTCTTATTAGTTATTATTATTAATTAGGGGGGAGAGGCACTGGGCTCTATGAGTTAGCCACTGTGCAAAGCACAGCTGAGCCCTCAAGGGCAGAGTCCCTGACTCACTCATCTCTGCATTTGTGCTCCTGACCTGTCTAGCAGAACAATGGCTATTGCACCGTGGGGGTCATGTCCACCTACCTGTCCTCCCAGGACGGCCAACCCCTGTGGATCCTCGGGGACGTCTTCCTCAGGTCCTACTACTCTGTCTTCGACATTGGCAACAACAGGGTGGGCTTTGCCACTGCCGCCTAGACTCACTGCCTGGACTGTCTTCTTCCTCTTGGCCCCTCATCCTGTGGGGGCAGTCTCTCTGTGCTTCTTCTCTGGATTCAGCCTTCCTTTTCTGAAGTCTGGACTTATCTCTAACAATAAATAGTTCTTCTCCATGTTGGCCAGCCTGTTGTTTTTGGAGGGAGGACTGTGGCCTGATCTCAGGGAATGGGGACAGTGAGGGGCAGGGGCAGATTTGCCTCTGATGGACCATGTTCTCCCTGAGTGGCTATGGGGTTTCCTGATGGGTCACTGAGACTCTGAGAGGAATGGGGCATAAAGTAAGGCTTGGGATGAACCCTCTACCCCTCAGGACTTGGAGTCTGTTCACAGCTTCCCTCTGGAGAGGGAAGACAGTGGTGAAGCTGGGCATCAAAGGGACCTTCTTTTGTGATGGGCGAAAGGGCCCAATTGTGATAACCTGAAGTGCCCAGCTGACTTAATTTACCAAACTAACACCAGAACAAGGAGCCCTGGTGGTGTGACAGTTAAGCACTTGGCTGCTAACAGAAAGGTTGGTGGTTAGAACCCATCCAGCTGCTCCATCAGAGAAAGGCCTGGCAATCTCCTCCATAAAGATAACAGCCTAGAAAACGCTATGGGGCAATTTTACTCTGTCACATGGGGTTGCTATGAGTTGAAAATTGACTCCATGGCACCTAACAGCAACAACACCAGAACTAACCCCAGTGATCTCAGGACATACATGGATGTCTACCAGCAGTATGACTAGGTGTCTGACACATGCTGACTTTAGGCCTGAGTTTCCTCATCTGTTGATCAAGCTTAGACTAGCACTTTTCTGAGGAGAGCTTGGATGGCCTCTGTGCACTTGTAACAGTCACATGATCCTTTAGGGAGGCTAGTGATACAGCCAGAATCTATTTCCAGCAGGGCTTCAGAAGGGTCAGGCTGAGTAGAGCTGATAATATTTTCACTCAGACCTCTATGTCTCAGAGACTATATTTGAAGGGGGGCTGGCCCTCAACTGTGGACAAGAGGGGTAGCTACTTAAATCACTTGGAAATCAGGCTTA